TAACTTTGGTGTTTTTAGAGTTACAGAGTTCCATTTTGACACGAGAGCTATTTTTAGCAAACCATTACGACATGCCAAATTTTATAAGGATTGGCCGACTATATCTTATAGCTGCCAAATAACTGAACGATCGGAAATGACCCAACTTTCGTGTTTTTGAAGATAGAAGTTTGGGACTTTTTTTTTTAGTTTTATTATGATATTCTCATAAGGATCGGCCAACTATATCCGATGTTTGCGATATATATCCGGTTTTAACTGCAAGGGTATATAAACTTCGGCTCCGCCCGAAGTTAGCTTTCCTTTCTTGTTATATATTAATTTTGTTCTACTTATTAAAAATTATGGAATTTAAACTGTTCTGTTCTATGAAGTCTTGTAACAAGACAATTTCCTCATCCCAGCCTACCATCCATTGCTGGCTATGTGAAAACATTGTACACGCCAAGTGTGCCGGGTTCAGTGCCTCAGTTTTGAATGCCATTTCCCGTAGGTCTGGTATACACTATTGTTGTGAAAATTGTCGTGCTGTCCAAGGCGAAATGAGGTCGTTCATGAGACAGACCAAGAATGGATTTAAAGAGTTGATCACTGTTTTTTGTAAAGTCAATGACCAACTCTGTGCGCTTGACACTCAGTTTAGCAGCCTTCAGCTACTAACTGAGTCTTCCAAGCTTAAGAAATTCGCTGTTTGTGATCCGCCTCAGCCTACTCAGCCGTCAATAACGCAGCCGCTCATATCTTTGGTCAACCCAAGGGCTAAAACTAAGAACAATTCGCCGTCCGAATTTCTCAAGGAAAATGAGCAATTGTCTGATATCTCCTCTGTGGTATCCCTTCAAGTGATACCACAGGTCCTAGTGAATGAAACCCCGGTTAGAGTCACCCAAAAGGGTATTCCACAGTCCGGACCACCGGCACCGACTGATGCTGCAGTTCTCGTACCTGCGGCACCAAAACCCTTACAGGTGATTCCTCCATCGAAGCATATATTTGTTTTTCGGCTTGCCCCTGATACTTCAGAGATTGATATCTCGGCGTATATCAAAGCCAAGACAAAAGACGATATAAAGGTGGGAGAACATAGCTAAATTTAAATATAATTATATACGGCGCACGTCTTCTTTCAAGATTCGTGTGCCCTCGCTGATGTTCAAGACGATTTGTTCACCCAGTATTTGGCCAGAGAATATTTTCGACCAAGAACATCAGCCGAGTTCCGTGAAGAAAAAAGTTATAGAACCTGTGGGAGTTAAACTACCCGATATCAGAACCACTGACCAACCTTCCACCTCTTCTTCGTCCACTAACCCAAAAAACTAGTATCGCCATTAACACTTACCTATCAGCATACTAGGGGCTATGTAGTAAGCTTCCCAAACTATATTCTGATAGTTCTTTCTTTGCATCCCATATTATAGCCTTTACAGAAACTTGGTTAAAGACGGAGATCTTTAGCTCCGAATTTTTTCCTTGTAAGTAAGCACACCACTTTAAGAAGGGATCGACCTCAGCGAAGGGGGGTGGAGTCCTCATTTCGGTAGACTCCACTCTTACTTCTGAAGAGGTGAAATCACAAGAGTTTGGTGACATTGAGTTTATTTGCATTAAAATCATTTTGTCCGAAAAATCTTTATATATTACATGTTTGTTTATACCGCCTTCGTCTGAACCGCCCACATATTGGCAGCATTTGTCCGCTATTCAATCCGTATTTAATCTTATGACTGATCGTGACCAGCTTGTCGCGGTGGGCGACTTTAATATACCAGAATTAAAGTGGTCCAATGTCGAGAACTCACCATCTTTGTCACTTATCACTCACCATGACTTCACCGCGGACATGTTTGACATGTCCCTAGGTCAGATTGACCATGTTAAAAATTCGTTAGGTCGACTTTTAGATTTATATTTTGTATCTGATCCTGATGGTACCGTTCTCTCCAGAGCTTTTCCCCTCTCAACCCCAGAGGACCCATATCACCCCACGCTGGAGGTCTCTATCGAAACCATTCCTGGTACCGATCAGATGTCTCCACGGGTGGTAAACAAAATTCGCTGTTTTTGTAATGCTGATTTTCATAAACTTAATAACCTTATCGATACATATGACTGGTCCGATATTCTGGCATGCACTGATCTTAATGTCACTTTAGAAAAATTTTACTGTACTTTAAATACATTTTTTGACTTATGTGTGCCATGGAAATATCCGTCCGCATCAACAAATCCTCCTTGGTTTACAAGGTGCCTAACTAACCTAAAAATAAAAAAAATAAGCTTTTACTTAAATATAAAAAAACCTGCAGTAGTATTGATTTTTTAAGATATCTAATATCTCGGTCGAACTTTACCGTACATAATGCTGAATGTTACAGGAATTATATCTGCCGCTGCCGGATAAAATTTACTCGGGATCCAAAGCAGTTTTATAATTTTGTAAACACTAAGCGTAAACACGTGCCTTTTTCACCCCTGCTTTCGTTTGAAAATTCCCGAATTCCGCTGAATTTTTTCAAACAACTTATTCTCCGCCTAAATTGACAGATCAGCCTTACGCATATAACATTCAAGCAGCAAATCTTATTTTCTATCCGTTTTTCTCTGATAACAACTTATTATCTAATCTTTTAAGGGTCAAACCCATTTATTCGCCAGGCCCCCACGGAGTACCAGGCTGTGTGCTAAAATACTGCGCCAGGGCTCTGTGTAAACCTCTTCTAAGACTTTTCAAATTATCTTTGGAAACCTCGATTTTTCCCCTTAAGTGGAAGGAATCTTTCATAATTCCTTTAAAAAAAAGGGAAAAAGTCCAATTCTGCCAACTACAGAGGCATCTCTAAGTGGTCGGCAATTCCAAAGTTATTTGAAAAATTATTTACCCCTCATTTGCAAGACCTTTGCTCTTCGATTATCTCTCCCTGTCAGCATGGCTTTATTAATCGTCGCTCCACCACCACAAATTTAATGGAGTCGACATCCTATATCATAGATGGCTTTTGAAAGGGATATCAAACCGATGTATTTTACACAGACTTCAGCAAAGCATTTGATTCAGTTAATCACTCACTCTTGTTGAGTAAGCTGAATATGTTGGGTTTTCCTAAAGACCTCTTAATGTGGATCTCCAGCTAATTAAATGGAAGGACAAAAAGAGTCTTATTTAAAAACATACAGTCCCGTCTGGTCTGGTTCAGTCTGACCTTGATAACTTTCAAAAATGGTGTTTAGCTTGATCTAATACTTAATGGATCAAAATTCAAGCATATGTCTTTTTATCGTTCTTGCCCTCTGCAAGCTATGTATTTTATTAATGGGATTGCCTTAGAGAAATTAACTCAAGCTAATGATCTTGGCGTCCTATTAGACATTAAACTTAAATTTTTCGACCATATGTCCTTAATGGTTAATAAGGCTAAAGGAGTCCTTGGTTTTATTAAAAAGTGGTCAAAAGAATTTAATGACCCATATATAACCAAAACATTATTTATTTCTTTGGCCTGTCCGATACTGGAGTACGGTTCATGTGTCTGGAGTCCCCAATATGAAGTACCTAAGGACCGCATAGAATCCGTACAAAAGAATTTTTTAATATTCGCACTTAGAGGTCTATACTGGGATGCAAATCTTCAGCTTCCATCCTACAGTAGCAGACTTTTACTTATAAACTTACCTGGCTTAACAAATCGTAGGACAATGCTCGGTGTAGTCTTTCTGCTTAACCTTTTTAATGGGGATGTAGAAAGCCAGCATTTACTAACACGCTTAAAATTTAACATTCCTAATAGAAGGACCCGAAACTTTAGTCCTCTGTTCCTTAGCCGTTGTAGTTAGACATATGCGCTGCATGACCCTTTTAGGGTATTATGTTTGAACTACAATGGTCTCTACTCTATAATATCTCTTTCCTGTCCCTCTTATTTAAAATATAGAATTTTAAATTTTCTTACTAACTTCTCCTAGCTTAATAAATTACGTATAGCTTTTACATATTCTTTTTTACTTTTTTAATTACATATTTACATATTTTAATTACATATTCTCTATGATCGAAAAATAAAAATCATGAATAATCATTATTTTTGATTGTTATTTTTTTTCGCTCAAAAATATCACTCAATTAATGATTTCGCGCTAGGTATTCAAATTTTTATATTTTTGGGAAAAACTGAATATGACGATTTTTTACATTAAGGGGGAACATCTGAGTAACAGACGAAAAATAAGCTGATTTTCTGGAATTTTTTTGGCCAAATGAAAAAGCCAATCGAAAACTTATAAATGAGGTTTTATTAAATTATATTTAAAGTACAAAATAAATTTTTTGTTTAATAAATCGAAAACAAAATGGCGGCTCTGCAGCCTTTATTCGAAGGCCCTATTTTTTTAAAGGGGGTCCATGGCCGAACACCTAACGTCCTTAATTTTTGATCTAGAACAAAAAATCATGTTGTGTTAGTTTCTGTACATCAACGGCTATCGACACACGTATATTGCGATATATTGATTTTTTGCAAAATGATGAGTGATTGAACAAAATTTTCAATTTTCACGAACAAAAAACGTCAAAAAATTGTTGATAAAAAAAAAAGGAAGCAATAAAAAAAAAAAATGTGTCGTGTGTCGATAGATATAGGTATTCCAAATATACTATACCAAATATATACAAGTATATAGCTTATAGGGTCGGAAAAACAAAAAAAGAAAACTGGAAAAGTGTGCGTTGCACACTTTTGACCAAAATTATAAGGGGGTATTTCGGTTGTTGATTTAATAAGGTATAAAAAGTTGTTTCCATTTAGTCTCGCGTTTATGTGTCCGGAGCACAACAAGATAAGCAAATACTCAATTAAGATTTAGAATTAAAGTTTTTGTTGTTTTTCTTTACACACATGCATGGCTAAAATTAAAAAGAATGATTACATTCTTAACAGGCCAATATATTTTTATTTTTTTTGTTACCAAAAGCCGTTGTTCCTGTTATGATTATTATTTTTTAGTGATGACTTTATTCAAGCTCAACAACAGTTAGCCCGGTGGGCGAATGAGGACGTGGTCTCTGTCGTGATATTGGACCAGCCACCACCCGAAATTATGTCGGATTCCCAACCATACAACGACATCGGGCTCATGTCGGGGGCATCAGCGAACAACTTTATCCACGACCAGCATTACGTCGATCATCAATCATCTACAGCAAAGGCAGCAGTAGTCAACAACTCTATAATGGGTTTATCACTAGTCCCGAATGGTATAAGTGTAAGTCAGAGGGACTTTTATCCCTCGCCACCGTCGACAGGCACGGAAAGCAGTGGAAGTGTAAACCAGCCTCTTCCATTTCGCACTTTGCAGTCATCAGATACGACGGACTTAAGTCAACAGCAAATGCCATTACAGAAAGTACCGTTATACCTCCATCAGCATCAACAGCGTATTCAGAAATCGGTCGATACCAGCAGCAACAGCAGCCAGGTAGGACAAATCTTAGAGGATGGCTGCTACCCGGAATATAAGCATTGATAATGGAGACTGCTTGCTTTCATAATTGTTATATTTTTAAATAAATCAGGCCTACTCTTTTGTGCCCAGAAATATCGTGAAGAATCACATATTATTTCTTCTATTATTGGCACTAGTATCGAACTTTAGAATTACTTTATAAAATAGACATATTTCGAAAAATATTTATACCTGGAATTTCTTAAAACTAAATGAATATTTGATGTAAATGTAAATTAAAAAAAGTTAACGTTGTGAGAGAGATGCAAACAAATTTTTTGCAATTAAAATTAACATAGTTTTAAAGCAGGGATGGTAAAAACCTTGCACTGAAAATAACTGCATCTGTTAGTTATGAAAAGCTGAACAAATAAACTCTGTTTTTACGGCATTTACTATTCTTCTTTTAAAATATATCACTGGGGGAGGGCTCTGGTAAATCGCAGGTATATACCATATACCGTAAGTACACTATTACTATTACTACTATTACTATTACTATTACTATGACTATTACTATTACTATTACTATTACTATTACTATTACTATTACTATTACTATTACTATTACTATTACTATTACTATTACTATTACTATTACTATTACTATTACTATTACTATTACTATTACTATTACTATTACTATGACTATTACTATTACTATTACTATTACTATTACTATTACTATTACTATTACTATTACTATTACTATTACTATTACTATTACTATTACTATTACTATTACTATTACTATTACTATTACTATTACTATTACTATTACTATTACTATTATTACTATTACTATTACTATTACTATTACTATTACTATTACTATTACTATTACTATTACTATTACTATTACTATTACTATTACTATTACTATTACTATTACTATTACTATTACTATTACTATTACTATTACTATTACTATTACTATTACTATTACTATTACTATTACTATTACTATTACTATTACTATTACTATTACTATTACTATTACTATTACTATTACTATTACTATTACTATTACTATTACTATTACTATTACTATTACTATTACTATTACTATTACTATTACTATTACTATTACTATTACTATTACTATTACTATTACTATTACTATTACTATTACTATTACTATTACTATTACTATTACTATTACTATTACTATTACTATTACTATTACTATTACTATTACTATTACTATTACTATTACTATTACTATTACTATTACTATTACTATTACTATTACTATTACTATTACTATTACTATTACTATTACTATTACTATTACTATTACTATTACTATTACTATTACTATTACTATTACTATTACTATTACTATTACTATTACTATTACTATTACTATTACTATTACTATTACTATTACTATTACTATTACTATTACTATTACTATTACTATTACTATTACTATTACTATTACTATTACTATTACTATTACTATTACTATTACTATTACTATTACTATTACTAGTAATAGTAATAGTAATAGTAATAGTAATAGTAATTACCTATCAGCATACTAGGGGCTATGTAGTAAGCTTCCCAAACTATATTCTGATAGTTCTTTCTTTGCATCCCATATTATAGCCTTTACAGAAACTTGGTTAAAGACGGAGATCTTTAGCTCCGAATTTTTCCTTGTAAGTAAGCACACCACTTTAAGAAGGGATCGACCTCAGCGAAGGGGGGTGGAGTCCTCATTTCGGTAGACTCCACTCTTACTTCTGAAGAGGTGAAATCACAAGAGTTTGGTGACATTGAGTTTATTTGCATTAAAATCATTTTGTCCGAAAAATCTTTATATATTACATGTTTGTTTATACCGCCTTCGTCTGAACCGCCCACATATTGGCAGCATTTGTCCGCTATTCAATCCGTATTTAATCTTATGACTGATCGTGACCAGCTTGTCGCGGTGGGCGACTTTAATATACCAGAATTAAAGTGGTCCAATGTCGAGAACTCACCATCTTTGTCACTTATCACTCACCATGACTTCACCGCGGACATGTTTGACATGTCCCTAGGTCAGATTGACCATGTTAAAAATTCGTTAGGTCGACTTTTAGATTTATATTTTGTATCTGATCCTGATGGTACCGTTCTCTCCAGAGCTTTTCCCCTCTCAACCCCAGAGGACCCATATCACCCCACGCTGGAGGTCTCTATCGAAACCATTCCTGGTACCGATCAGATGTCTCCACGGGTGGTAAACAAAATTCGCTGTTTTTGTAATGCTGATTTTCATAAACTTAATAACCTTATCGATACATATGACTGGTCCGATATTCTGGCATGCACTGATCTTAATGTCACTTTAGAAAAATTTTACTGTACTTTAAATACATTTTTTGACTTATGTGTGCCATGGAAATATCCGTCCGCATCAACAAATCCTCCTTGGTTTACAAGGTGCCTAACTAACCTAAAAATAAAAAAAATAAGCTTTTACTTAAATATAAAAAAACCTGCAGTAGTATTGATTTTTTAAGATATCTAATATCTCGGTCGAACTTTACCGTACATAATGCTGAATGTTACAGGAATTATATCTGCCGCTGCCGGATAAAATTTACTCGGGATCCAAAGCAGTTTTATAATTTTGTAAACACTAAGCGTAAACACGTGCCTTTTTCACCCCTGCTTTCGTTTGAAAATTCCCGAATTCCGCTGAATTTTTTCAAACAACTTATTCTCCGCCTAAATTGACAGATCAGCCTTACGCATATAACATTCAAGCAGCAAATCTTATTTTCTATCCGTTTTTCTCTGATAACAACTTATTATCTAATCTTTTAAGGGTCAAACCCATTTATTCGCCAGGCCCCCACGGAGTACCAGGCTGTGTGCTAAAATACTGCGCCAGGGCTCTGTGTAAACCTCTTCTAAGACTTTTCAAATTATCTTTGGAAACCTCGATTTTTCCCCTTAAGTGGAAGGAATCTTTCATAATTCCTTTAAAAAAAAAAAGGGAAAAAGTCCAATTCTGCCAACTACAGAGGCATCTCTTAGTGGTCGGCAATTCCAAAGTTATTTGAAAAATTATTTACCCCTCATTTGCAAGACCTTTGCTCTTCGATTATCTCTCCCTGTCAGCATGGCTTTATTAATCGTCGCTCCACCACCACAAATTTAATGGAGTCGACATCCTATATCATAGATGGCTTTTGAAAGGGATATCAAACCGATGTATTTTACACAGACTTCAGCAAAGCATTTGATTCAGTTAATCACTCACTCTTGTTGAGTAAGCTGAATATGTTGGGTTTTCCTAAAGACCTCTTAATGTGGATCTCCAGCTAATTAAATGGAAGGACAAAAAGAGTCTTATTTAAAAACATACAGTCCCGTCTGGTCTGGTTCAGTCTGACCTTGATAACTTTCAAAAATGGTGTTTAGCTTGATCTAATACTTAATGGATCAAAATTCAAGCATATGTCTTTTTATCGTTCTTGCCCTCTGCAAGCTATGTATTTTATTAATGGGATTGCCTTAGAGAAATTAACTCAAGCTAATGATCTTGGCGTCCTATTAGACATTAAACTTAAATTTTTCGACCATATGTCCTTAATGGTTAATAAGGCTAAAGGAGTCCTTGGTTTTATTAAAAAGTGGTCAAAAGAATTTAATGACCCATATATAACCAAAACATTATTTATTTCTTTGGCCTGTCCGATACTGGAGTACGGTTCATGTGTCTGGAGTCCCCAATATGGAGTACCTAAGGACCGCATAGAATCCGTACAAAAGAATTTTTTAATATTCGCACTTAGAGGTCTATACTGGGATGCAAATCTTCAGCTTCCATCCTACAGTAGCAGACTTTTACTTATAAACTTACCTGGCTTAACAAATCGTAGGACAATGCTCGGTGTAGTCTTTCTGCTTAACCTTTTAATGGGGATGTAGAAAGCCAGCATTTACTAACACGCTTAAAATTTAACATTCCTAATAGAAGGACCCGAAACTTTAGTCCTCTGTTCCTTAGCCGTTGTAGTTAGACATATGCGCTGCATGACCCTTTTAGGGTATTATGTTTGAACTACAATGGTCTCTACTCTATAATATCTCTTTCCTGTCCCTCTTATTTAAAATATAGAATTTTAAATTTTCTTACTAACTTCTCCTAGCTTAATAAATTACGTATAGCTTTTACATATTCTTTTTTACTTTTTAATTACATATTTACATATTTTAATTACATATTCTCTATGATCGAAAAATAAAAATCATGAATAATCATTATTTTTGATTGTTATTTTTTTTCGCTCAAAAATATCACTCAATTAATGATTTCGCGCTAGGTATTCAAATTTTTATATTTTTGGGAAAAACTGAATATGACGATTTTTTACATTAAGGGGGAACATCTGAGTAACAGACGAAAAATAAGCTGATTTTCTGGAATTTTTTTGGCCAAATGAAAAAGCCAATCGAAAACTTATAAATGAGGTTTTATTAAATTATATTTAAAGTACAAAATAAATTTTTTGTTTAATAAATCGAAAACAAAATGGCGGCTCTGCAGCCTTTATTCGAAGGCCCTATTTTTTTTAAAGGGGGTCCATGGCCGAACACCTAACGTCCTTAATTTTTGATCTAGAACAAAAATCATGTTGTGTTAGTTTCTGTACATCAACGGCTATCGACACACGTATATTGCGATATATTGATTTTTTGCAAAATGATGAGTGATTGAACAAAATTTTCAATTTTCACGAACAAAAAACGTCACAAAATTGTTGATAAAAAAAAAAGTAAGCAATAAAAAAAAAATGTGTCGTGTGTCGATAGATATAGGTATTCCAAATATACTATACCAAATATATACAAGTATATAGCTTATAGGGTCGGAAAAACAAAAAAAGAAAACTGGAAAAGTGTGCGTTGCACACTTTTGACCAAAATTATAAGGGGGTATTTCGGTTGTTGATTTAATAAGGTATAAAAAGTTGTTTCCATTTAGTCTCGCGTTTATGTGTCCGGAGCACAACAAGATAAGCAAATACTCAATTAAGATTTAGAATTAAAGTTTTTGTTGTTTTTCTTTACACACATGCATGGCTAAAATTAAAAAGAATGATTACATTCTTAACAGGCCAATATATTTTTATTTTTTTTGTTACCAAAAGCCGTTGTTCCTGTTATGATTATTATTTTTAGTGATGACTTTATTCAAGCTCAACAACAGTTAGCCCGGTGGGCGAATGAGGACGTGGTCTCTGTCGTGATATTGGACCAGCCACCACCCGAAATTATGTCGGATTCCCAACCATACAACGACATCGGGCTCATGTCGGGGGCATCAGCGAACAACTTTATCCACGACCAGCATTACGTCGATCATCAATCATCTACAGCAAAGGCAGCAGTAGTCAACAACTCTATAATGGGTTTATCACTAGTCCCGAATGGTATAAGTGTAAGTCAGAGGGACTTTTATCCCTCGCCACCGTCGACAGGCACGGAAAGCAGTGGAAGTGTAAACCAGCCTCTTCCATTTCGCACTTTGCAGTCATCCGATACGACGGACTTAAGTCAACAGCAAATGCCATTACAGAAAGTACCGTTATACCTCCATCAGCATCAACAGCGTATTCAGAAATCGGTCGATACCAGCAGCAACAGCAGCCAGGTAGGACAAATCTTAGAGGATGGCTGCTACCCGGAATATAAGCATTGATAATGGAGACTGCTTGCTTTCATAATTGTTATATTTTTAAATAAATCAGGCCTACTCTTTTGTGCCCAGAAATATCGTGAAGAATCACATATTATTTCTTCTATTATTGGCACTAGTATCGAACTTTAGAATTACTTTATAAAATAGACATATTTCGAAAAATATTTATACCTGGAATTTCTTAAAACTAAATGAATATTTGATGTAAATGTAAATTAAAAAAGTTAACGTTGTGAGAGAGATGCAAACAAATTTTTTGCAATTAAAATTAACATAGTTTTAAAGCAGGGATGGTAAAAACCTTGCACTGAAAATAACTGCATCTGTTAGTTATGAAAAGCTGAACTTTTCATAACTTTTCATAGTAATTACTATTACTATTACTATTACTATTACTATTACTATTACTATTACTATTACTATTACTATTACTATTACTATTACTATTACTATTACTATTACTATTACTATTACTATTACTATTACTATTACTATTACTATTACTATTACTATTACTATTACTATTACTATTACTATTACTATTACTATTACTATTACTATTACTATTACTATTACTATTACTATTACTATTACTATTACTATTACTATTACTATTACTATTACTATTACTATTACTATTACTATTACTATTACTATTACTATTACTATTACTATTACTATTACTATTACTATTACTATTACTATTACTATTACTATTACTATTACTATTACTATTACTATTACTATTACTATTACTATTACTATTACTATTACTATTACTATTACTATTACTATTACTATTACTATTACTATTACTATTACTATTACTATAATATCAGCCCTTGTTAACATTACAGGTAGCAATGTTCAAATTGCTCAAATTGCGAAAAAAGCCATGTTTTTGTGATTTTTTTCCTGACGACACAGTTAAAATGTATTTATTCAACCAACGGTATATTAAAGTATGACATTAGAAGAATGTTTAATAAAATTTTTACAAAAAAATATTTGAAAATATGGCAATGGTAGCAATTGTCCGGACGTGTCGCCAAAAAAAGTTGAATTGCGGTGCCCCTCATAACTCGGTGCTGGATCATTTGTAATCAGAAAATGAAAATTCATTCGTTAGATAATAGTTCGCCCCAGGTAACGCTGTAAAGGTTTTTGAAAATTGCAATTTTTAATTTTTTCGAAGACTTTGAAGTGAAAAACTCAATTTTTTGGGAAAAAATCGGTTAATTTGTCATTGCAAAATCAAAATTATGAGCAAAAAAAAAAAAACTCGACAGCGTTACCTCGTAAAATATGTACAGAAATAGTGTTTAAAATTTCAAAAGGATCGGTGCAGTAGTTTTGAAGTTATGAGGGGCACCGACTTTGAAAACGTGAGTTGTGGGAAAAACGCTTTAAAGTTTTAAACACACAAAAATCCAGTGCAAAACGTTTATGAGCAACTTCGTCAATAACTAATAACTTCGTCAATTTTGCTTTAATTGACTTGAAATTTTGACACAATATTCTTCAGATATTATGCATTCAATTTAAAAAATAAAAAAAAAATGAAAAAAAAAAAAAATTTAATACCTTACCCTCCCCTTAAGCAACTATACACTCCCGAACACAGGCATTTCAATTGGAAGCTGAACTTATGAATATCATCTAAAGTCAATATCATCGCCCCAACCAGAGGGGGCTGTTCCACAAACCTCAGAGAATTGACATATTGCTTGGCGCTGACGCATGTTTCGAATTATTAAAGGAAGGGAAATTTGAGCAGGAAACATATGGTCCAGTCCTACAAAACTCCGTTTTTGGATGGATCATATCAGGTCGGCGCAAGTCATCAAAAACAAATTTCAAACAGGCTACATCAATGTTGAGCGCGGTTGAATATCATTGCAGTGTAGATTCGAAAATTCTGGGAAATATAAAGTCTCCCGAGCATTGCACAGAATAAACTTTACACTCCGGAGCAAATTATGTGCGAAAAAGCATTCATCGAGAGTATTGTTCGGTTACCCTTCGGTCGACTTCAAGTTTCATTGCCATTTAAGTCCAGCCTTACTTGTCTCGGCTCGTCGTTTGAAATCGCACAAAGGCGGTTCTTAGCACTACAAATGAGGATGTCCAATAACCCAGAAATAAATTCCATGTACGTTGCCTTTATGAAGGAGTACATTTCCTTAGGCCACATGACGTTGGTCAATGATGAAATTCCGACTGAGCCTCATTTCTTCATTCCTTGATCAGACGTGATCAGACCGCAAAGTTCAAGCACTAAACTTAGAGTGGTTTTCGATGAGTCGAGTAAGACAAGTTCTCAAGTGTCATTGAACGAATTGCTGATGATCGGACCAACTATACAGCCGTGTCTATACGCTACGCTACATTACTAAGGTTTCGTCTTCGCAAATACGCTATTACAGCAGATTTTGTCAAAATGTACAGACAAGTGGAAATAAATGAATCCCATCGTAATTTTCAACTAATAGTATGGAGACAGTATAAGGATGAAAAATTATAAGTCTATTGCTTGAATACCACATTGCTTACATACGGCACGGCCTGCGCACCGTTCTTAGCTATCCGCTGGCTCAAGTACCTTAGTGAGATATATTCAGTTTCTCACCCTCTTGGATCCTTAGTCTTATCAAATAGCTTCTACGTTGACGGGCTTGTTCTTTCGAAGTGGGCAACCAATTGTGAGCAGCTAATAGATCTTAATCAGTCTACAGATGTATCTGTCGGGGAGAATGAAGATACAAAGGCGTTAGGGCTCGTTTGGAACCCAAAACATGACATTTTTAAGTTTTCTTCGCGAGAGATCTGTACAAGCCATGCGCCAACAAAAAGATCTATGTTGTCCCTTACTGCTCGCCTATATGATCCTCTCCGGCTTATCTGTCCTATTGTCACAAAGGCTAAAATTCTTATACAACAGATTTGATTGCTTAAGATAGAATGGGATGATCCAATTCCTGACAGCCGGCAGCAAAAATGGCAATTGATCACAATTGGTTTGGAAGAGTTGGATATATTGACAATTCCAAGGCAAGTAGGTACGAGAAAAAATACTGTATGCCAAATACATGGCTTTGCGGATGCCTCAACTGAGGCATACGGATGTTGCTTTTACATCCATGTCGAACATCCACATGGTGTGGAGGTTAAATTGGTTACTGCAAAATCAAGAGTGGCCCCTCTGAAAACAAAGTCGGTACCACGACTGGAGCTTTGCGCGGCGCATTTGCTAGCCAACTTGTGGGAAAAAGTTCGTCCACTGATCGACTCTCCAGTTGAACGAGTTGTAATATGGTCGGATTCAGAAATCGTATGGTATTGGCTGCAAACACATCCTTCAAAACTAAAAACCTTTGTTGCCAACCGCGTAAGTGAGATTCAAGAGATGGCATCATCGGCTTGTTAGCAATAGCGATGGCGACCCACTGATAGCAATCCAGCAGACTTTCCATCTCGCCGTTGTACAGTTAGGGAATTAAAAAATACATTTTGGTTTAATGGTCCTCACTTCTTGACTCAACATCAAAGTCTTTGGCCTCAAAATACAAAAACTCAGCAAATCAACATTAATGAAGAGTTTGAGATTCGGAATATAAAACTAGCCACATTACAACACAACTCGAGCCAAATCCGATAGAAAAAACTTGACAAAAAAAAATCTTTCTTAAAGTAATGCGCATTGTTGCTTACTTCCTGCGATTAATGCAACAATATCTCGCTCGTGGTCTGCACTAAATCCTACCTCGGTTGAGCTCGGCTCGGCCTTTTTACTCGTTGTAAGCGTCATCCAGGAAAATGCATATAAAAGTGAACTCATAAAATTACAACAATCAGTTAAGTTGCCAAACTCACTTCAAAAGTTAAGTCCATTAGTTGTGACTGAATAAATTAGAAAGCTTGAGGTGTCTATTCGCCAAGCAATATGGCTCATAAATGATAGGCGCGAATGTAGCGCGGTCGTACGACAATGTGTACATTGCTTTCGATACAAGCCAAAATTAGCTTCACAAATAATGGGTAACTTACCAGCCGATCGTTTCATAAGAACAAGGCCGATTGCAATTAATGCAATCACTAGGAATTCGTGGTAAGCCTCCAATCAAGATGTATGGTATGTATCGATATTTATTTGCTTCAAAAGCTTTATTGTCAAAAGCCGTTCATCTTGAACTTGTAAAAGATCTCACCGCTAATACATTCATTATGTGCTTATCTAGATTTGTCGGACGACGCGGACCCATCGAGAAATTGTATTGCGATAATGCCACGAATTTCTCGGGCTCGTCTCGCGTCATACATGACCTAATGAGCAAATCGGAAACCCATAAATTCTCTTTCTTCCTCTTAAGCGAACGATCGTGTTTTTTTTTGTGCGCACTGCGTTAATAAATATTGGTAAACCGGTTGGTTACTTACTTGTGAATCTATTGAGAATCTTAAGTTTTGAGAATTTTAACCTTAACCGTATCGCTTTGCGAGTGCTGTGGTATATTTGGATATTTGGCATAGCTCAGCTCTGCTTCTTCCCCGTCTTATCTATGTTTCTGCACTTTTCCTTTTCACTCTCCAAAGCTCCCGCTTCGTCTTCCTATTTGGCACAGTGGTTCAAGGTATAGTATTTTTTAACTTTTTATTTATTAATTGTGTTTATTATTAATTATAAATATGGAATTTAAACTTGTCTGTGCTATGAAGTCTTGTAACAAGACAATTATTGCTGTGAAAATTTTTGTGCTGTCCAAGGCGAAATAAGGTCGTTCATGAGACAGACCAAGAATGGATTTAATGAGCTGATCACTTGTTTTCGTAAAATCAATGACCAGCTCTGTGCGCTTGACACTCAGTTTAGTGGCCTTCAACTGCTAAATGAGTACCCAAAGCGTAAGAAATCCGCTGTTTCTGATCCGCCTCAGCCTGCTCAGCCGACATTAATGCAGCCGCTCATATCTCTGGCCACCCCAAGGGCTATAACTGAGAAAAATTCGTCCAAATTTCTCAGGGAAAATGAGCAAGTGTCCGATATGTCCGCCATGGCATCCCTTCAAGTGATGCCACAGGTCCTAGTGAATGAAACCCCGGTTAGAGTCACCCAAAAGGGTATTCCACAGTCCGGACCACCGGCACCGACTGATGCTGCAGTTTTCGTACCTGCGGCACCAAAACCCTTACAGGTGATTCCTCCATCGAAGCATATATTTGTTTTTCGGCTTGCCCCTGATACTTCAGAGATTGATATCTCGGCGTATATCAAAGCCAAGACAAAAGACGATATAAAGGTGGGAGAACATAGCTAAATTTAAATATAATTATATACGG